CCCGGCGGCTCTGGCTTTGACGAGCGCGGCTCGTACTTGGTGCCAGGACAGAAAGGCGGAGGACGGGGCCCCGTGCTGCCCGGGGCTTGGAGACGAGGGACGCACAGCCCGCAGAGGGGGACGGGCCCCCCGGCACGTGTCGGGGGGCCTCGTTTCTTTAGCATTTTCAGGGTCCAGCTCAGCTACATGTCAGGAGTCCAGACAGACCAAGGGGAGACGAGCCCCGCTCCCCGGCCTTCGTGGCTGTGGAGAGCAGCACGCTTTCACTTTGATCACAGTCCGGAAGGAGAGGTCAGCCCCAGGGGCAGGTGTGAGCTTTAGGAGGCACATGAAGCTCGCTGGAAAGACTGGCTTCTCTGAGGCATTCACCTCGCTGCCCTTGTCCACCTGGTGCTCTCCGGGAGTCCACCGGTACGGAAAGCGCTGGGTCAGCAGAGGTGGCCTTTTCTACACACCTATTCTGAGCCAGAGGTCACAGGTGCTTCCGCTGAGAGAGGTCAGGACAAGGCTGGAGGCAGCTCTCTGGTGGGAACACAGCCCATTTTTCACTGGTACCACAGGGGAGGGAGGATTCTGGGGTCCAAGGCACAAAGGGACCCTGTGAAATGCTTTCCACGTGCCAAACTGTCTCAAGCCCTGCTCCTTCCGGGAGTTAAGGAAAAAGACCAGGTCTCGTTCGTGTGATTCAATGACATATGCTCAGGTTCCAGACACTGGCTCCAGAGGGAATTATAAGCAGTGGATGCTCATCAACCCGTCTTTCCTGCCACAGCCATTCCTCTTCTCCCCTCTCCCTTCTTCCCTCTATGCATCCATCCACCATCCATCCATCCACCATCCATCCATCCAACATCCATCCACCATCCACCCATCCATCCATCATCTATCCACCCACCCACCAGTTGACCCATCTTTACATTTCTCCATCTCTCTATCTTTTTCTCTTTCTCTCCCAGACCAGACAGCCCCAAGCCAACCTGGCGACTGATGACAGATGCTTGAATGAGCCCAGCCAAGGCAGAGGAATTTTCCAGCTGAGCCCAGCCCAAATTGACAATCTGTGGAATTGGGAGCTAAATAAATAGAAACAAATGAATGTAGTTTTAGGCCGCTAAGCTTTGAGATGTTCTGCTCTGCAGCGGAAACGAACCGACTCACACCAGACCCCTACTGTGGCCACGAGACTGTGCGCCTGGCTGCTGACCTCGCCCCCGCCTCATCCCGAACCCGGCTCCCCACCGGCCCGCGCGGCCTGCGTGGGTTCCCCGCACTGGCTCCCGCCACGGCCTCTGCGCATGCTGCCTCCTCCGTGCCATCCCCTCCTCCCCTGGCAAATGGTGACTTTTCTTTTAGGTCTTTGCTCAGAGGCCCCTTTCTCACAGAATTCTCCCGACACCGCAGACCGGCCAGGCCCCCGGCGACCTGCCCACTCCGCATCCATGCCTCGCGGCACGCTTTGGTTTTAAGGCTGTCGTGACATCACGTGACCGCTGTCTGTGCCCCTCACTGAACCAGGCTCTGCAGGCCATGCTGTCTTACTGGCCACCATGCCCACAGGGTCGAAGGCAGCGACCAGCATGTAGTGGGTGCTCGGGGCATGTGCCCCGAATGTTCTCAGATAACTGGTGACAACAGAGATCTTGAGGGCCGGCAGGCCCATCCATGGAGGTTCTTGCTTGCCCGACAAGGCATCGGACACTTGTGGGCAGTTGGGAGTCACTGAGGGGGCTTCGAAGGGCATCCCGTAATCTGGTGAGCCAGATCTGCCCACCATCGCTTATCTGCGCAGATAGTTTTACTGGCCCACGGCTATGTCCATCATTTGCACGTCATCTCTGGCTGCCTCTGCAGTGACGACAGCTGAGTTGAGTGGCTGCGACAGAGATCACGTAGCCTGCAATGCCTAACACCTGGGCTGGGTGCGGGGTGGGGCATGACTCTGGGCCCCCTCGCCCCTCGCCCTGGCCGTCATCCGAGAGGCCTCCCCCAGAGGCAGGTGTAGGAGGCTCTCAGAGGAGCAGGAAACAGCTCCTCAGTGCACGTGGGGGTCGTCCCTTGAAGGAGAGCAATTGCCTGGAGGAGGAGTGAGCAGAGCGCAGTCGGGGTTCCTCGGCAGGCACCCCGAGGTGCCGGACGTGAGTGTAGGGGCCAGGCCGCCCAGCCTCCGCGCTGCCCGTGACCAGTGGCCGGACAAGCCCCGGCCCTCGCTGGGCTGTTTCTGTCTGTGGGATGGGCAGGGCTGCACGCCTGGCTGACTTCGCAGGACTTCCCAGCAGTCACGCCGGCCGCCAGAGCAGTGAGCGGGGCGCGCGCGTGTCGCTCCCGCTGGCCACCGCCTCGGAGGACAGGCAGAGAAACAAACCGCCTCCGAGACACAGGGACACACACGTGCACGCCTGGCTGTGAGCACAACATGGATGCGCAGAGATGCACGTGCGTGTGTGAATGCACACACGTGGGTATGGGTGTGCAAGCACGGGTGTGTATGCCTGTGTGTGCAGCTGGCCGCCACTAGGCGGCGCAGTGGCCTTGCTTTTGGGAGCTGGGTCTGGGGTGGGAAGCAGACAGAGCGGGGTGCAGGAAATGCTGGCAGGGACCCCAGCAGGAGCCAGTAGCTCACCCCGCCCAGGGCAGGCAGCTCGGCCCCTGTTACTGAGTCTCTTTTACCAAATCCCCTTCCAGAATGGTATTTGGAGGCCGAGGGTGGTGGCAGGACCCTGGAGCGTCCCTGGGGGTCTTTGTGATGGATGAAATGCAGATGGCACCAAAGCTCCCCACACAGCGACAGGACCAGGTGCCTAGTGGGTCTCTTTCTGAATATGGACAGGAGGCCAAGGACATGGCCAGCGCCATCCTTACCGGCTGGTGTCGCCTACGTCCGCATGTCCAAATGCACGCTCAGAAGCCTATCAGGCCCCTGACGCCACGGCGTTGCCCACAGCGAGGTTCCTGCTCCCAGGCTTCTAGGGTCCCCGCAGAAAGAAGGCGCCCCTCCCCACTGCCCATCGCCTCCCCACTGCCCATCACCTGGTCGGGGCTCTGCCTCTGCCAGGACACTGCGGGGACAGGCTGGGGACGGTGCCGGCACCAGCGGGGAGGCTGGCAGACCGCGTGCAAAGACCGGGTCCCTGCGTGCCCTCGGAGCCCCCGCA